CACCCAACCAGCAGCTGCTGATGACGAATGTGGGGAAGACGACGACGCACCTGCCCTCCAGAGCGTCTTGGTAGCTGAGCTTCGAGCGTGCGACACCGACATCATGCTGGACCGGGTGGAGTGTGCGACGTCAGAGGACCCCGAGCTCCAGATGCTCAGAGACATCATCTCCACCGGCTTTCCGGCATCCAGAGCGGAGCTTGCGGAACCCCTCCGGAAGTACTGGCCGGTGCACGACCGACTGTCGGTGGAGGGCGGCATCATCTTATGCGGCATGCGCATCCTGGTGCCGCTATCCCTCCGTAGATCGACCTTAGCGTCTCTCCATGCGAGTCACCTCGGGAAGGAGAAGACCAAGGAGCGAGCTCGGCGGGTGGTCTACTGGCCGGGAATGGACGCCGCCATCGACGACGTCACCAGAGGATGCAGTAGGTGTCAGCAAGAGCTGCCATCCCAGCCGAGGGAGACCATGCTGCATCATGAGCCTGCCGCCAGGCCGTTCCAGGTCCTGGACATGGACTTCGCAGACCACGCAGGAGGCAAGTACCTCGTCGTCGTTGACGGCTACTCTGGGTGGAAGTTCATCGAATGTACGGGCACCCGGTCTGACACCAAAAACGTAATCAAAGTAATGCTTAAGATTTTCAGTGAGGTCGGTGTGCCAGAACTTGTCAGAACCGACGGGGCCCTCTGCTTCACGTCTCTTCAGTTCAGCACGTTCTTGAGCAACTGGGGCGTTCTGCATCGCACATCATCCCCACACTACCCCCGATCTAACGGCCTGGCCGAGTCTGCTGTTAAATCTGCAAAAAAACTGCTCAGGCGATGCTGGGACGACGGCAGAGGACGGCTCAACGAAGAGGAGTGGACGCGGGGCCTGCTTCAGCAGCGGAACACGCCGGGCGTCAGCGGGAAGTCGCCCGCCGAGATCGTCTACGGCCGGCCACTGAGGGACGACCTGCCCACGCACCCGTCGCACTTCAAACCATCGGCGCGCTCGCAGCGGGCGAGTGGAGGCGGAGCCCAGCAGCGGAGGGGGACACCACCGCACCAGACTGTGGACTGCGACGAACGCCGCGAGTCACGCCGCTGCGCCGCCAAACGGTGGTACGACCAGCATGCCCACGACCTGCCCGAGTTCCCCGTCGGGACTCGCGTCCGTGTGCAGGACGTCAGGACAAAACGATGGGACAGGTGCGGCGTGGTGACGTCGGTCGGCCCCCACCGACGCTACAGTGTACGCTTCGACGATGGAGGGGAGGTGGATCGGAACAGATGCCACCTGCGCAGGCGGCACGCTCTGTGCCCGGTGCCCGGAGTGGAGCCTCCCGGGAGAGCCGGCCCGCGTGTCGTCACACAACCGGACACTGGTCGGATGAGTCGTGACCATGCATCTGCGAGCGAATCGCGCGCCTCCACACGGCCGGATCGCGCGCTGCGCACTGAGCCGCCGACTGTCCGCCGATCCACCCGTGTGCGGAAGCCGGTGCGTCGGCTCATAGAGGAGATGTGATGGTGTACTACGTTTCTTGTTATTTTCTCTATTGTGTTATGTTTCCGTTCTTTTCGTTATACCTCGAGCGCGCTGGGGGCTTAAGGGGGGAGATGTGGTGGTGTGCATCCCCAGTCTGCACCTGGGGTTTGCATCTCTACGACCGTGTGTGCCCTCGGGGCACGGTCCGGCGGCGGCTCCCGGCCGGACCGTGCGGGGCCGCGTCAGTCTCTACTGGGTCCGCGCCACGCTCACTCGCTGTGAACAATACACCTGCACCGGTTCAGAGGCGTCTTCACAACCTTTATGTCCTAAAATGACCTAAGGGGCACACACAGGGGTCACAGGTGCACTTTTCCGATTCAGTGTGTCATGTTTACCTATGGACCGATGTTTGAGAGGGTGTAGAACGAAATTCGTCCAAAAGAGGCGCATTTCAATTTTCTCCCATTGACTTATACCTAATGGAGCAGTCGCAAAACTGACCTGACCTTAGGTCACAGACATAAAAAATCCGAGGTATCCATTTTATACATACTGTTACCCTAAGCAAGCACTGAAAGTTTTAAAGTGATCGCTCAGTCGGTGTAGCTACAACGAGCTTTCGAATTTTTTTCTGAGGTAAGGTCACTTGACGTTACCTGGTGAGTGGTGACCTGACCTAGAATGACGCTACGCGTCGCGTCGCCGTTTTTTTAGATATTCGCGAAAAACCTGAGGGGGAAGGGCGTAAAAACGCCCCCCCCCCCCCCCAGCACGGCGCGGGTGGTCGACATAGCGACTCGGACTGAACAAATGCATTTAACGTTTCAACGGTTGAATAAGGTGAGAGGATTGAGGTAGGCTTGTATCGGATTTTCTTCTGCTTGTCGGTAGTTTAGGTTGAGCGCGAGCTGTCCATAATCATTCAAGAGGGAAAATTCAGCTGCACATCGTTCGGGTCAAAGTAATACCAAACATTCTCAAATTTTGTAGTAAAGAGCCAGTAGTCTACGAATATATTCAAAAAACAATTAGAAAAAGAACAAGCGGACTGGTTTCGTCTATCAAAGACTTCTTCAGCGTTTTTTTTTTTTTAACGTATTAGAAGAAAACTAGCACAGTGACAATCGTTTGAAATAAAATTGGATTCAGTAAGAACTAAGAACTTCATTGTCCGAAAACCGCTGACAGTTGATAGCTCAATGACACTTAGAGACGTGCATAAGGAGGCGTGAAAACACTCCTCATCTCGTTCTATTACGAGAGGACCATGTCAAGGCGTGAGAAAGGTGTTCTCAATATAAATGACACTGTATGAGTGAATAAATATTCCGCGCCCTCTTGGGCTATTGGCGGACCCTACCACCTGATCGGGTAATGCAGCCGTTTAGCCCTCCACCTGAGATCTCGGAAAGTTACCGACCGATTTTAAACATTCAAAGAGTGTTCGATAGCCCCACCAGGTAACTACCTTGTTACCAGGTTTTGTTGACCTAGGTGCAAGCCATGACGTCACAAGTCAGGTCAAAGGTCGCATTTTTCACCGATTTAGTCTAAGGAATGCGTTACAGTCAGTTAACACATCAAATAAAAGGCATGTTATCGAAAAACATCGATGGAGCGTTGGTTGTCTAATACATATGTTGCCTAAAGAGGTCATTGATGCCAGGTCAGTTCACAGAGGTCAGGTCACTAAGGGTCACAATATGAACCCAACTATGCTAGGGTCGTGTGATACATGTTTTATGGCCAATTTTACATTTAAAATTCAATGGTGTGAGCTAGACGGCCATTGGGGCCAGTTTAGATTACATTCTGGTGGAGGTCAGGTCAAAGTCAGGTCAAAGAAGGTCAAATTTCAAAGTTGATATTTTGCATAAAAGGGGTATCTATTCGATGCAGCTCATCACAGGAAATCCAATGGTGGCCTTTGACTTGCTTTGTGTGTTCTGTGACGGCTAAAGATTGAATTTGAAAATTTTACGTAATAAATTTTGAGTAGTTTTTTTTGCCATAACTTTGCTAGAGATGGAGCTATCGAGTTTAAGTTTGGCATATCTAGAGCAGATAGTTTTATAACATATATTTCAGTTTTAATTTTGAAAGTTGTTGGTATTTTCGGGGTGTTATACTTCTATAGTTTTGTTTTGATGGTCAAAATCAATTTTTGTTTGAAAATAAGAGTTAGCAGTTTGGTAGCGCTGTTTATTTTACATCTTTTTGATCTTGAATATTTTTCGTTATCTTCAAAACTGTAAGCGTGACAGCTCTTCCCGCTAAACCTTTTATTGGGTCGAAAATGACAGAACATGGCATCTCTCTGACGTCATTTGTGACTAACCTTTTATAAGAGCTCTGGAAAAATTTGGTCACAAGGTGTAAAAATGATGCCCGGAGGGGTCTTGAAAGTTTGTTGGCGACATTTGCTATACTTTAGGAGATATCGACTGAAAAGGGAAGAGGGGGCCGTTTCGCGCCGCCCTCCCCTCAACGGGGCTTTCAGTTGCTGCTCTCACAGAACTCTTGGTTATATTACAACGTAGTGGAATTGCAAGTGGCAATATAAGCTTCCTGCCAGCGCCGGACCAGATTTTAAACATGCAGGCTGAATTTTAACATTTAATTTTTGAATTTTCAAACCGTTGAGCTTTTTAGAAGTTGTATGGACTGTTCAGCTCCTTTTTTGGTGCATCACAGCGGGCTTGTATGTCACTTGTCAACTAAAATCGAATTAAAAACTTTTTATTTGGTCTGGCTATCTCGCCAACTTCTTAACTGGATCGTCATAGACTTCTTAACTATGACACGAGAAGAGGCTGCTGACATCGTTTGTCGCGGTTGGATAATACCAATCCACGTCCCAGTGGCTGCTCGATCGCACTTTCCCTGGCCCACCTCTCCCACCAGGCGAGACTTTGCCCGGCACAGCCGTCGCCTCAGTGCCTCGGGCGGTGACCCGTTCAAAGGGACTCACAATTCGTATGGTGCCGTGGCTCTCAAACCAATACAGAACAGTGAAACGCAAAGGCTCACTTTCCATATAAGGCGAACGGCTGATTCTGGCGCCGGGGCATCATTCATGCTAAGGCGCCCAATCACAGCGCCGCATTTCAGTTAGTGTCGGGCGCAAAAGCTACTATGCTCCGCCCCTCCATCACGTGACCCTGCCCTCACGTGGCCTCAGTCACGTGGTGTTTCCACTTCTTGGCGCATGGCGGCGCTAGTCTCGCAAGGGCGGTGGTAGCTTGCTCCCCCGCCGTCCGGGGGTGATGGGTAGCAACTGCTGGTGACTGTACCTACGTACGCACAGTGAAAACCAGGTCTGGCCACTGCCCACAGGAAGAATATTGCAATTTCATAAAACCGGCCCATACCTCCCGGGTATCCCCTATGCTAAGCACTGATCAACAAAATTCGGTCAATTTTGGGAAACCTTGTACACGCACACGCAAGTACGCACGCACACACGCGCACAAAAAGGTAGGTGGTGAGCCCCGTCCCCAGCCAGTGCAAGATGGAAACTTACGTGACGGGAACTCTGGTTTGACGGGCTTGCCGTTGTCCTGTTTGAGCTGGACGCGGATGCGACCCCGGAAGAGCAGCTCCTTGCTGTTCTCGCGCGGGTAGAGTTTGTTCTCGACGCCCACCTGCAGGCCGGCCGAGGAGAGCACATCCCGGATCTCCTCATAGTTGGGGTTCTCCACTGCCTGCCGACACCCGGCGCTCGGCTCAGCGGCACACACCACACACGTCGCCCACAGCGGCACACACCACACACGTCGCCCGGCTCAGCGGCACACACCACACACGTCGCCCACAGCGGCACACACCACACACGTCGCCCACAGCGGCACCAGGGGCGGATCCAGAAAATCTCCAAGGGAGGGGCCATTAGAAACCAGGAGGCCCCCATAATCCCACCTGTTGGAGGCCCCATCTTCCCACTTGTTGCCCCCCCCCCCCAAAAAAAACTGCGTCTATTGAGCTTATCTAGCTGTTCAGGCAACATCTCAACATGAATAGCCACTTTATTTTCAGGAGGCCCCCTTTTCAGCTTTTTAACTTTTTATTTCATTTTTGAAAAAAAAAAATCGGCCAAGGGGGGCCATGGCCCCCATGCCCCCCCCCTTGTATCCGCGCCTGAGCGGCACACACCACACACGTCGCCCACAGCGGCACACACCACACATGTCGCCCACAGCGGCACACACCACACACGTCGCCCACAGCGGCACACACCACACACGTCGCCCGCAGCGGCACACACCACACACGTCGCCCGGCTCAGCGGCACACACCACGCACGTCGCCCACAGCGGCACACACCACACACGCCGCCCACAGCGGCACACACCACACACGTCGCCCACAGCGGCACACACCACACACGCCGCCCACAGCGGCACACACCACACACGTCGCCCACAGCGGCACACACCACACACGCCGCCCACAGCGGCACACACCACACACGTCGCCCACAGCGGCACACACCACACACGTCGCCCACAGCGGCACACACCACACACGTCGCCCACAGCGGCACACACCACACACGTCGCCCACAGCGGCACACACCACACACGTCGCCCACAGCGGCACACACCACACACGTCGCCCACAGCGGCACACACCACACACGTCGCCCACAGCGGCACACACCACACACGTCGCCCACAGCGGCACACACCACACACGTCGCCCACAGCGGCACACACCACACACGTCGCCCGGCTCAGCGGCACACACCACACACGTCGCCCACAGCGGCACACACCACACACGTCGCCCACCTCCAAACACAACAGCACTACCGCAATGCAAGCCAAGCGTGCACGCTTATCCAACACTCAAACTTGCGACCCACGAAGCCGGAAGACATCAACAAAGAGGGAATGACAGAAGTGAACCTATAATACGAATATAGGAAAATAGGAAAGACAAGTTGCCAGAGAACCACAAAGTTAACATAGCATACCAAGCTCCAGTTGTGACTAAGTGGTCATAGGGTGAATCTCTAATTACAGACCACGGTGCTCACATTATTTAACTTTCCTCAATGACAACAGAAGACCAGCTGTCCGATAACTTTTCTCAAAATACCAATGAAATTGACTCTGACCCAACATGTCAATGGTTCGAGCAAAATCAGTCCCTGGCGTGGAAGTCGCCACATACAGCTTGCTTTTTGTTCATTTTTCATATCATACATACATCAATTTCGTATCGTTTGTGAAATTGATGACCCCAGGCAGACTTGTGCCAAGATCCCAAAAAGATCCGAGATACAGGATCTTCAAGATCCAAGATCCGGGATCTTGATGGATCTTGGATCCAGCACTTCAGGTTTTGCCGAGGAATCTTGGGGATCCAGGATTCTGGTCATCATTTTGTGAAGGGATCCTGGGGATCTTGGGGATCTTGGATCCTGGTTTGGGATTTTTCAAGGGATCCTGGGGATCGTGGATCCTGTTTTTTAACAGGAAACCATGATTAAATGCCTACTAAACCTATCTATTGCTAGCAAATTCAAATCTCCTGAGGATGAATATCTAGCCAGGAAAACCAATGAACAAAACATTAGCATTTACAAAGTTGTTAAACTCACTTTATACTGGAAGGAGGACATACTCTAATAACTAAGGTGCTCAAGGCTTCAAAGTATATATCAGCATAAACACACCTTAGACTTTGAGGGCCGTACTATTAACTGGATTATTTGCCAGCTGACGTCGTATGGTGGCGCTAGCAGAGCTTGTTATACATCAATGATAGATATAAAAATTGGTCGGTATCAGTTTGGCATTGGTTTCGAAAATTTCTTAAATTTACATCACAAACATGTAGGTACCTAAAACATTTCTGAGATTTACATCACTAGCATCTACAATGTACATGTCCATTTAGTGCTTCTCCAGAGCTAGAACTGAGTTAGTTGCAGTCTAGGGGAGAGTGGGGCACATTCGTGCAAAAAATGGATAAATCCATATATCTGTTCTTTGGTTAGTGCAACGGCAAAATTGTTGATTGTAGTATGGAAAGGAACTATTGCACATATTTTTCCTCTTCAAAACTTATCCTCTAAAGTTACCGCTTCTATTAGAAAAAATGACTTTTAATAACTCTTAACGTTTGCACGAAACTGCCCCAGGTATGGGGCACATTCGTGCATGGGGTGGGGCACTTCCGTGCACCCTGCAAAATTAAATGAATTACCGGGCATTGCCAGAAATTTACCAAAAGAAATGGGCAGGGGGTCATTAAAGGAAGGATGCCACCTTCCGAAATTTTTGTTCTATGAATCTATTTTACTTATTTGAATTTTTAGACGTGGTTAGCGCGTCCACAATATACAAAAAACCGAAACATTGCATTTAATACATTGGCCAAAAAAAAAAGATCGTTGTTTATATCACCACTACAACTCAAGGTCGTTTGATGTGGCAGCTAGGACGGCTGGCATATCCTGTTGTCATGGCAACATATCATTCTGCCATTTGCATTGATGGCGCAACTGAGACAAAAAGATGAACAAATAAAAAGGAAGAAGATAACATGATTTGAACTAAGTTGTAGGTAACCAAGTAGGTAACTGTTGGCCATATTTGGCCATCAAATAAGTCGAGTAAAGGTTTTTCCTTTACAATGCTTAAGAGATCTATGGAACCCTTCACCCTTCATGCAACTTACTAGAAAAACTTCCCAATTAAAATTTTAAAACTTAAGTGTATACCATAAAGAAAAAATATACCCTTTCAAAATGATAAAACATGCTTCAAAAGTATAACTTTTATACATACCTTTGCTGATTTCATGTTTTATAAAATACCCTTAACATGACGAGGAAATAGTGCTGAAGATTTTTGCCTGCCCGAATGCTGGCAGCAAAACTCGCAAATGATAACTTCACGTGCGGATTCAATGCTGACCGTCTCGAGCATAGGTAAGTGAAGCCGGTTTTTAGGTTCATGTGAGGCTAATCTTGTAAAAACTGCGTTGTGTCCAAAAGGTGGCACCCTTCCTTTAATTGATTCCTTTCCACAGGAATGCATTGCACAACGTATGTAGAAAGAATTGGCTGACCAACAAGAATGTGCCAACCGCTGGCCATCGACCCGCCTCCGTGACCTCTCCAAGGGTCACGTGAATTACTTGTCACGACGTCGCAAGCAGCCGAGACTGAGTCAGGCGAGCGTCGCTACTACAGATAAAGTCATAAATCGCAAAAACGAAAAAAATATGCAGGAATGTGCCCCTAGGCAGTGCGTGCACGAACCTGCCCCACAACACTATTTGTAATATAATTCAAAATTTCTTATTGAAAAAATGACAGTTTTTCAACAAACAAGTTTGCAGCAGTTCCGTGAATAGAGTGAGCTTCTTCGGACCCAATTTTGAAAAGTTAAACCACATTTCCGAGTCAGGATCACGAAAATGGATGATATGAGAAAAGTTTGGAAAGCCCACGAATATGACAAATTTGCGTTTTTATCAAGCATGACATCAGGTACAGTGTTGTCTCCTACAGTGAACGAAGGGCGGCAATGATAGACATATTTTCATATTTACCTTTAGCTCGTGCAGTCACTCGTGTTCCCATAAATTGCTGAAAACGAATGTGCCCCATGCACGAATGTGCCCCACTCTCCCATACTGTTGCAAATCACAGATGAATCATCCTAAAATTATGATTGTGCGTTGGATCTTGGGGATCTTGGATCCTACACTTTTGATATTGCATGGGATCTTGGGGATCTTGGATCCTGGAAATCTCATCTTGCGCGGGATCTTGTGGATCTTGGACCCTGAAACTTTGAATTTGCGTGGGATCCTGGGGATCTTGGATCTTGCAAAATGATTTTGTGTGGGATCTTGGAGATCTTGGATCCTGAAATTCTGAAATTGTGTGGGATCTTGCGGATCTTGGATCTTGATTTTTGGTCGAGGCACAAGTCTGATCCCAGGTCACATAAGATCAGGTCATCAGGTAAAATTAGCCCAACTAATTACGAGCGAGCGAGCGCAGCGAGCGAAGCGAAGTCTTTTCAATATAACGGAAAAATCTCAGTATGAGCAGCCCGGCCTGTAACGTTTTTGAGAGGCTTATATCTCAGCAACCGCTAGACCGATTGGCCTGCAGTCTTTTTTGCTGGATAGCCCCATCCCTTCTACCCCGTAATTGACTACTGTTGATACATCTCAATGACCGTCGTGGCACGTGCCACTTGAAAAGTCGAGGGTGTTCAAGCAGTTTTGCAAAAGTAGTGATTTTGAGAGGCCCATATCTCAGCAGCGGCTTGGGCGATCGTCTTGCGGTTATTTTTATAGGGTAGCTGCATCCCTTCCTCCAAAGGTCGGATACTCTTGATCTAATTGCAAATCACAGATGAATCATCCTAAAATTATGATTGTGCGTTGGATCTTGGGGATCTTGGATCCTACACTTTGATATTGCATGGGATCTTGGGGATCTTGGATCCTGGAAGTCTGATCTTGCGCAGGATCTTGTGGATCTTGGACCCTGAAACTTTGAATTTGCGTGGGATCCTGGGGATCTTGGATCTTGCAAAATGATTTTGTAAGGGATCTCGGAGATCTTGGATCCTGAAATTCTGAAATTGTGTGGGATCTTGCGGATCTTGGATCTTGATTTTTGGTCGAGGCACAAGTCTGACCCCAGGTCACATAAGGTCAGGTCATCAGGTAAAATTAGCCCAACTAATTACGAGCGAGCGAGCGCAGCGAGCGAAGCCATGGCGAAGCGAAGTCTTTTCAATATAACGGAAAAATCTCAGTATGAGCGGCCCGGCCTGTAACGTTTTTGAGAGGCTTATATCTCAGCAACCGCTGGACCGATTGGCCTGCAGTCTTTTTTGCTGGATAGCCCCATCCCTTCTACCCTGTAATTGACTACTGTTGATACATCTCAGTGACCGTCGTGGCACGTGCCACTTGAAAAGTCAAGGGTGTTCAAGCAGTTTTGCCAAAGTAGTGATTTTGAGAGGCCCATATCTCAGCAGCGGCTTGGGCGATCGTCTTGCGGTAATTTTTATAGGGTAGCTGCATCCCTTCTTCCAAAGGTCGGATACTCTTGATCTATGTGAGTGACCCCCACTGCACCTGCACGTGCAAAATGCAAAAAGAAGAGGTGCCAAATTTGTTCCCATTTCAGTAACTCGGTAATTACTGGGGCGATTTCGCTGAAACGTGGCATACAGGTAGGCAATGCACCGACAAGCCCCTGCTGTGGCAGCCCGCCCGCGGCGCGGCCGCCCGGGCCGCCCACCGCGCCGCGGCTCCCGACCGCAACGGACGAAAACTTAAAGGGACTATCCCACCTTTAACATGGGGTTTGAGTTGAGATAGCCAAGTTTGCGGCGAGGTTCAGAAACCACTATGTATCTAGGTTGCAACCCCCGCGGCCTCTTGGTGTTGAAGAAATTCGTTCCCTTCATTTGAAAATGGGCCTTGTGCAAGGCCCTATCTTCAACATGGAGCGACCGTTAGTGTGACGTCACCTCGTTTAGTCATTCTGATTTAAATGGGTTTGTTCGTTGAAAAATCGCTTAAAACTTGGTCTGAACTTTGTTGTGGTGCCTACAGAGTAAAAAGAATCAGCTTTATGACGGAAATGTGGCCTGGGGAAGGAGGTAATTTTGGGCTGTGACGTCACATATTTGAAAGTTTGTGTTTGGAATATGGGAAGCCTAAGATGTTTAATGAAAAATAAATGCCAGAACCGTGTTCCTGGTCATCCAATCTATAAAGTCGGGCACAATTTAACTGGTTTTAACAACATTTTAGAAGGTGGGATAGTCCCTTTAAGTAGCGCCGGTCAGCCCTGTGCTAGCACCTAAATTCTTTCACAGTGCGGCTCAGAAATGATTAGGGAATGCTACGGTATGGTGGACTAACGGGTACACACTGTGTAAAGTACTGCTGTAGGTGAAACGAAAGCAAATAATTTTTAGTAAAAAAAAAACTGCGATTGCAACATGATGAGAAACAGTTGGATCAACGCCAAACCAAAGAGGTACGGCTTTTTTGACCCGACATTAGAAGCAGCAGGTTTTGGGGATAATTTCCATGCATAATTTTTGTCATTTGTATGAAATGAACGCACGCTAGCGGCGTTTGAACTGGTGAGTATCTCACAGTCATTTTACGACATAGAAAATGTCACGACTTCTGACAATCATACACGAGGCCGGTTTTGACAAATACATGAAAAACATGTTTTTTCAGACACCCAAACATTTGCCTGACTGGCTATTTTACGATTTATTCGATAAGGTGAATTTGAAAGTTGGGCCTTTTCGATATTTATGGCCACTCGTGAACCCCATTTGCATCACTGTGCACCGCGATATGGAATAGCGGGCCGGCTGGAATGTGCCATTTGCCTGCGACAGCGCCCAGCTGCGCCGGGACTGTTTGACAGGCCACCCGCACCATGACCTCGTCCCTCCCTACCTCCCCACCGGGCCCAGCTCGGTACTGACCTACCCTTGAATTTGACATGGACTGAAAAGGCTGAAACAGACTCTTTCCGCGTTCAGGCAATCGTATGCGAGAGCCTATTCAAATACATTATAATTCTTCCCGCATCAATCGCATCCGGGAGGTGCGTGCGATTGATGCGAGCGTGCTTACATGCATTTTGATAGGCTCTCGCATGCGATTTCCTGACTGCGGAAAGTCTGTTTCAGGCATAAGGCTCAACGCCATCTAGTTACGTCTGGGGATCCTTACTACATAGATCCACTGTACGTGTCAACCGCCTCTGACAGCTTCGTAACATGTTACAATGGCACCAAAACTACTTCGTAAATGTTCAAATGGTTGCTAAATTCATCGAAGGTCAGTGAACTGACCTGACCTTCAGGTGACCTTGAAACCCGCCCTAATGCATGAGAGCGACATCATCATTCCCATGTCTGAACGCTTGAAACCACGAAAAGACAGCAAACGCGCGGCTAATGCGAGCCGACAAAAGCCGAATCGCGATTCCGGCCAAACATGGTCTCGAAAAGTAGGTCATAGGTCAAAGGTCATTAGAGTCAGGGTCATGAAATTTTCAGGGTATGTGTAAAATTGATTAACGCGAGGATACTTAAAGGGAAAGTATCACCATTTTGATGAAATTTGACATTGCATAGGCCCCACCTTTCTGGTCCGGGAACTGAAGACCGATCCTCGAAGCTCCACACCGTTATCCCGCTATCGCCGCTCAAAGTACGAAAGGTGTACTACACTTTGAATCGTGCTTCACTATCTTCACTGTTTAAATGTTTGCGCCGTTTTGAATTGACCGCCAGTAATAAAACTTTTACCCTGGTCATTTCATCAAATTTTATAAAGCCAAAACGTTTTTCGCACTTATTCATCACCGTTAAATTCATTAAATAGTCGTAGGCAATTTCCGCTGTTTCCTTCGGATTCTAGCGGCTAAACAAAGGAATTCCTTCAGCTTGAAGGAATTCCTTCAGCTTGTCACGTGATATCTTCTGGGCAATACCTAATGCTGCCTTTCCCTAACGACAACTCAATCAGAAGAGCGGCCGCGTAAGCGTAGCGTCAATAATGTATTATCTGCGCCAGTTCTGTAGTAATTTCGCAGGCTTCCAAAGTGGCGGCCATGCTTGTAGTGGTGGTTCGCTCATGAAAATGACTCGCTCATGAAAAAATATTTTTCACCGAGTTCGGGCCTCAAACTATGTTTTTCTGATTCAGAAAAATAAGAAATGCTAGTAAAAAAAAAATCAGCTCCATACATTGATTTTTTTTCGATGATACTGTCCCTTTAAAGTTTCGTCGCGATCGGCCGCTTTTAACGCGAGTTATTCGCGAAAAACCGAGGGGGGATCCCTTCGACCCCCTTATTCGGGCCAGGGTTGAGTTGAAAACGTGGCAAAGTTGTAGTTATTTATGAAAATTCGAGATAGCCATTTGGTTTGTCTTTTTTTGGAAATACGGTTCAATTTTTTAGTCTCTACAGGCAGAATCCGATTTTCTGCGATATTTTTCCGTGAACAACATTTTCGACCAAAAAATGGCCGAACATGATCTCAGTTTGACCTCTAACTCATGAACTGAGATGACCTAGAACCCATTTCTTTTTTAGTTATGTAAAATTGACGTCTGGAGAGTCCACGAGTCGAGATTTGCAGCCGTTTCTGAGCTACTTCCGAAAAACCACAGGGGCCCTTTGCCTCCTCCATCCACTTTCAAAGGGTCGCAGGTTAGAAGAGCTTTCGAATGCGCTTTTCTGCAGCGCTGTAGCTCTGTCGCTTTCGAGTTATGCGCTGATTGATAAACAACAAAAAAAAATGAAAAGGCAACAATTGACCTTTGATGACCTCTGGTAACCTTACATTTAAACTGACCCAAGACATGACCAAATTACTTCGTCGTAATTTTTACGCTCTTTCGAATGCTACTTACCGTGTGTCACTACGTGGCCCAGGAGCCGAATTGGAGGAGGACATGCTAAAACACCCCCCCCCCCCCCGCGCATCCCGCCCGGCGCGCTTGGCGACCAGCATCGGCCCGGCGCGGGCTAAAGAGTAAAAAGCGAAAAGCGAATCCCGCGTGGGCGCACGTGCAAGCTGCAACATCCAAATAATTTGAGCGGCCCATATAGCTGATACACAATGTTGAAAGGCATGGTAGTCGACGGTCAAAGGTAGGCAGATGACGTACCTTTTCTTTGGGTATTCTTCTGCCTTGTGCCAATGTCTTCTGATTATTTATATATGACGGGTAGATGCATATCCACCTGTGGAAAGAGAATCGTGGGCAATGTGATATTTGATAATTAGCGTCCGAAACAGCATAAAACAGCAACCGGCATCATAATCCCTTCAATCAAGCCTGTCGACGTCGCGGCTTAAATCAGGACTTGATGTTTGTCGAATTGGATGAAGTGTTCGAGGGTTTGGTGTTTGATTAATTTTCCCAATAAACAAACATAAACAAACAGTTCACAAACAATGGTGCTCGCGAACAAGTGACGTCACTGGCCGAATTTTAGTGAGCAAACAGCGAACAGTGCGCGATTGTTCATAAATTGTTCGCGATAACAGCAGGGGGTAGATAAGACCCCCTCCCCAATGGTTTTCCTCCTAATTGAGCTAGAACCTTGCGGAAAAAGCGAGCGTTTGCGTCGTTCCGAAAACAACGATGGGTATCCGATTTTAAGGTCTTGGGTAAATCGGTGAACCCTAAGGTCAGGTCAAGTGTCCCAGGATCAGGTTTTGGTTTTTGGTAAATAACTTCGCCACAACTGGTAGCAGAGGCGCGGTTGTGGCGCCAGCGTGCTCGCCGTGGCCAGGCGCGTCTAATTATATACTTTTTGTTTGGGTTGGATCACATAACCCGCGCACCGACGGGGGTCTGCGCCAACTCACCCCCGTGCCGTGCTCAATATGATGCCAATGCAACAGACTGAGACAACAACCAAGAAAAATCAGGCACAAAAATGTGAGTGAAAATGAAGCAGCAAGGGAAGTATGGGCAGGATGCAGTGGGGGGGGGGGGGGCAGGACTGTGGCCCAGCAGTACTTTCCACATGGTAATCATGCAGGATGTGCAGCGCAGCAACAGTGAGTCGTATCACCTCATGTAGACCATGCAGACCTCGTTGACGAAGACGCACCACAGCACAGCAGATACCTCGGACAATTCAAATTCAGACTAACAGCAGACATCGGTGGCCGAAAACCTTGCAATTGAAGATTTGTTGACAGGTTGCCTGTGCCACTTTGACTTGTCAGTTATGGTCTGAAGACAACATGCGAGATGCGCTCACAGCTGTTGAAAGAGACTAAATTCAGCTAAGCTTTTTGCGGTATTATTAGGTACTTTTATGGCATCCCAAGACAAACGCTTGTTTATCATCATGCAAAGATAATTTACGAAATTTTGACCCTACGTACAAAGTTAGGAGCAAAAACATCTTTTTTAAAATGCAATTTGCGAAAAATCCACAGATGATAAACATACTAAGAAGAACCATAGCTTGTGCAATGATTTGAATGGTTGCGCTAGGCATGCTTCAGCCTTTGCACACTAACGAAAAATGTTGGCTCTGGAAGAATATTTGCATTTTTCGTGAAGTTACCCCTCCGTACCCTACTTGCATTTCAGTCGGGGGAGGTTTGGTCAATCGTTGTCATTTTTAGCACATGCCATTTCTAGCAACCATGTGCCATAAATGACAACGCTATCAGCTATTTTTGGCAACGATGAAGCCGATTTCACTCCTCAGCGAGGAAATCACGATTTTGGAAATACAAGCACTGATTTTGGAAAAGAAGTGCTGCCACCTGGTGCAAGAATATAAACCAGCTTTAATATGGCCGTTGTTTGTATGGTAGTCCAACGTTGAAGTATACCCTTTTTTGCATAGGCGGCGGAACGGGGGGGGCACCGGCCTCCCCTTAAATTCTGCAAGGGGGCACCAATAGCAAGGTGCGCCCCCCCTTTGATGTATTAGTACCAGGGGCGGATTCGGGAAAACTCCAAGGGGAGGGTCATGAATCGAAGTGGTTTATTTATTTATTTATTTATTTATACATACAACATCCACAAGCATCGTGGCTTTTCAGTTGAGGTTCCCCTACCTATACCCAAAATTAAAACCTCAACAGATTTCGGCCACTTAATTTTGGTGGTGCCCTATTTTCAGTTTTTTCTTTCTTTATTTTTGGTTAGTCATGTGATGACTGGTGCCCCTGCTAGGCCGCTGGTGCCCCTGGAAAGACCTTGGTGCCTACCTACCTTGCCCCCTGACAAGCCTACGGTGGGCCCTGACATGACTTAGGTGCCCATGGGCCCTGACAGGCCCGTGGTGCCCCTGCCAGGCCTGTGGTGTCCTTGCTAGGCCTGTGGTGTCCCTGGGCCTTGGCAGGCCCTGGCGAGCCTGTGGTGCCCCTGTTAGAACGCAGGTGCCCTTGACAGGTTTGTGGTGCCGCTGACAATCCTAAAGTGCCAACGACAGGCTTGTGGTGCCCTTGACAGGCCCATGGTGCCCTTGCGAGGCCGCTGGTTCCCCTTCGAAGCCGATATTGCCCCTGGCAGGCCTCTGGTGCCCCTGGCAGGTCTGTGGTGCCCCTGGAAGACCTGTAGTGCTTTTGCTAGGCCGATGGTGCTCCTGACAGGCCTGTGGTGCTCCTGGCAGGCATGTGGTGACCCCAGGCCTTAAGTCATGACCCATGTGACCTTCCCCCTGGGATTCGCCACTGATTAGTACTGCGATGGCTTCTTGGGAATTTGATACATGTAGGATAAATGGAATTTATCAAACGACAATAAGGAAGAGACAAACACATAGGTACTTGAGGATCAGCTTAAAGTTAACCACACACATGAGGGTGAACTGCCATTTTCGTTTAGTAAAAAAACATAATAAAAATCATCGTGTCAGGGCTGTGACGAAAAATAAGTGGCCTAAATCCGATGAGAAAACAGGATTTGGGGGGATCCTAGGTTTGGCTCCTTGAGCTGGTGCCCCCCCCTTGTCTCAAATTGTTCTGCCGCCTATGCTTTTTTGTAGCCTGAAGTTGGAACTTCAACTTGCAGCATCCGAAAATGATCAATATTGATCAAAAACATAATTTTGATGAAAAAAGAATATGTTGAGTTGAAAAAGGAGGCGATTTCATCCAGATGCGGTGGTTTACTTCTTGAAATTATTTTTGTTTATGACGGCCACTATGTAGTGACGGATGATGCGCAGCCGTCAATTAGCAAAAATAATTTCAAGAAGTAAACCACAATAGGATAAAATGACCTCCTCTCTCAACTTAACATAGGTATTATTTTTTTCATCAACATGTTTTCAATCAACATCAATCATTTTCGGATGCTTCAATTTTAAGTTCCAACTTCAGGCCACAACCAAATTACCATACAAACAACGGGCATATTAAAGCTGGCTTCTTCTTCCTGCACAGGTGGCAGCACTTCTTTTCGAAAATCAGTGCTTATCTTTCCAAAATCGTGATTTTCTCGCTGAGAAGTGAAATTGGCTTCATCGTTGCCAAAAATAGCAGAATCGTTGCCATTTTTGGCACGTGTGGCAAAAATAGCACGTGTTAAAAATGACGATTGACCAAACCTCCCCAGACTGATTTGAATTGTAGATGTGTGCCTAAGTGCTTTCTGAAATTACTAAGATCTGAAGTGTCACTTCTATGCATAGGTACCTACTTTTCATCCATGAATAAAACATTCAAATATACTCACCTTTCCTTATCCGAATGCTTCTTGTCTTGTGCGAAGACCATCGTAAAGCTTTCCTACGTACCAGAGGCCTTCTGCACCTCCCCCAACCTGAATTCCAATGGGCCCTATATTGATATCGCTATATCCAACCAAGGCTATAGAGCTCTTATATCAAAACAATCACTGCACGCGTAACCTGAGCTCTGTTCGCACCCCGTTTATTTATCAGCAGGCTGCGACCATGCTGCTACTTCTTGGCTCCTCATTGGTCGAATTCAAGTGGTCTATTCGTTAGACCAATGAGAGGCCAATCCGCGCCAGCAATAACTTCCTTATATGGGGTAACTTCGCATCTATGAACTTCGCAATCTAAGCTGCGTTGCGGCATTGGCGGTTATGTGCGGCGTGTATGCCGCATGATTTGTAAGCGGCGACCACTAAATTAAAGACTCAAACGCCACGGCCTCCTCTAAGGATTTTTTCACTGGGTGGGAAAATTTTTCGCTACTCCCTTCCCCTATTTTAGGCCCATTTTTGATTTTTTTGCAATATTAGGTGAAAACAGAAGCTTCTTATCCTAGGAAAAATAAAATGGGAAATCATTGGAAGGTGGCACACTACCTTTAAATTTGGTAGCGCTACGTGCTATAGAACTCACTCTATCAACGAAAAACTCTGGCATTCGGTTGCCGCTAAACTAGTCCAATTTTCCCCTGACCTTGTACCGGGTTTGTGACGGCCCCCGGTCATTGTCATTGGCAGCTTCCTCCTCACGTGACGTCTCCAGAACTTGAAGTTTTTCCTTCACTAATGTTAAGCTATGGGGAAATTCCTTATTTTACCCATTTTTCTAGCCGCATATTATCTCCGGAACTATAAGACCCAAAATAAAACTTTGGTAGCATTTGAAAGCTAAATCGATTACCTTGTGCATCCCGGGTCAGTTTTACAGAAGAAAAGTAGAGAAGTATGCAAATTATGCCACCGAAAGAAGGTCTACCTCCCATTGACTAGGGTTACTGTGTTGCTATCATTGAAATGAATGTCTGACAATATCGTTCTGACTTGGTTACCGTTGATAATAGCTGTTGATTTCCATGAAAAGTCGCGGCATTCAAGTGCAGCGAATTAGCAAACACATATGGTTTCAGAACATATAACTTATATTGTGCAGCTGATGGTCGCTGGTGTTTCGTCGGGTCACCGGCTGTAGAAGTGCGAACAAGTGCTATACATAGATTCGATGCAGCTGATTTGCGATTGCATAGCCGATCATCAATTAATTCTATTTTGTTTGTATTTCCCATGCTTTACATACGTAAACAATCCCTTTTAAATAAAGGCATCTATGAATCTGGTTTGCTCAATTACCGTTCCAAACTGACTGAATGGATGAAAGCAGCATCAGGCAAGAGCACAGCCTTACATTTGAATATCAGTGATACGATGGAGTACACTCTGAGCCTCACTGAGCGTGTGCCCGCAGTTTCCGCACCTTCCGCTTCTGAGCGGACTCAGCACGGCGGGCGGCGTTGGGGGCGCGGAGGCGAATGAATCAAGAATGAATGTTCTAACGCGAACGAACGTTTTGATCAGGGGGGCGACACGGCTATTCGCGCAATGTATTCATTTGTGGGCCGCGCGGGGCCTCGCGATGACGCGGCTGGAGGCAACTGCTCAGCGCGCTAGGATACTTCTGGCGGGGCGGGCGCTGAACGGTGTGCAATGAATGGGTTATGGGCGGGCAGGCAGAGATGAGGTATTGAATTTGAATTGACATCAGCAATCGGGTGGGGAAGGAGAACGTTTCTAATCGAGCTTGGGATGGGGAAAGCCGAAAATGTCACGATCGGCTCAAAGCTCCGACAGGGCCGGGGGCCGTACCATGTGTCGTATATTTAGGCGGGCAGACAGAGATGAGTTATTGGATTTAAATTCACCTTACCATCGGTTTCTGGTGGGGTTTGAAGACGTTTTTAGTCAAGCTCGGGGTAGGGCAACCCACTGGCGGATCTAGGGGAAGGCATTTGGGGCAAATGTCTTCCCCCACAACCGGGGCAGCGCCCGAAATCGCTTTTCGAGAATAAAAGAAAACTTCACAGCTTTTCTGAGGAAATGTTGGTTAAAGGGACACTCCCACCTTAACATTAGTTTTGAGTTGAGATAGCCAAATTGGTGGCCATGGCCTGCAAATACCGGTTTGGGCACTCACAACATCGACAAATGCTTTAATTCGGAGATATGGAATTTCAAACTTGCAGTTTTCGGATTCTAAGGGGCTAGTGCATTGGTATGCCCCCTTAGAATTTGTGACGTCAGCGGAGATCTAACGATTTTTAAATCTTTTACTAAAACGTTTGGTAGCACGCGGTGGTATATGCTGCTTTGCGCGCAACAAATGCCGCACTTTCAAATAAAGTCGCTAGGAACAGCGGAGATCCCAAAAAGTAAACAAAAGTAAAAGTCTAATATCTTGAAAACCGGTGAATATTTTTCGATGAAATTTGGTAGATATTCGTTTTCGCTCTTTCTGAACCGAGCGACATCACTTTCGTGCCAATTCATTAACTTTTTTGAAGGTGGGAGGGTCCCTTTAATCAAACTGCACAGCAGTGCGCAAAGAATCGAAATCCGAGTTTTTTAAATTAATTCGGAGAAACCTTTTGGGGTGAGCCCTCGCAGTGTCCAAGACCGCTTCTTGGATCCGCCAGTTGTGAATAAGTCACGGTCGATACCGAGCTTCGGCGGGACCAGGCGCTGTATACGTTTTACCTACAATGAAGAGGTGGACAGACACCTAACCCCAGTCCCCACATCCTTCTGCTATACCCGTGCTTCTGTGGTTGAAGCACTGAAGCATCACGGAATCCCACAGGACCTGCAAGTCGACGAGGTGGCCGCTTTGGCCGCCGGGTACTGCAGCTCCCTGGAGTTGCCTGGGACCGATGGTAAAACAACAGCTCCAGCGGTGCCCCTATGGACGGTAGTAATTAGTGAATTCCCGCAATGTAGAGATCATATCCTCAATGATCTCTATATTACTAAACAATATGACAGACCAATTATGCTTGCCTACGTTCAGGCATTACTTCTGATGGTTATACGCCCAGTACAACATGTATTGTCTGTCAAACAACAATCGACGACGGGATCCCTTCTCATCATCTCTTAAACCATCGGTAGTCAATTCACCTTGAATTCACCCACCCCGTTTCCCGATATAAATAGACGGTAAAAATAGACGGTCAAATTCGGCCTGGGTCCCTACGACCCTTCTAGATTCGCCAGAGACGGGATCGGATCGCCATTATTGCACCCGTCTTAGTGTCTTTAGATACCTCAAGACAGCTTCGACCACGGACGTCGGACGGGGTGATCGTTCCACGAATGTACGCACCATCCAGGCCTAGGATGCATCGAGGTTTAAAAGAATGCAGTCTGTAGATCAATCAACATAACAACGGTGGTATGCAACCACATTAAAATATCTCACCCGCTCCCGCAGCGTTCCAACGCCCCTCCGTTATGCATTCGCCTTCTGTGTCCGCCGAGCCGGCTTGCCTCCAATGACGTCATCGGCCGGCCGGCGGCGTTCAAGGTCAAACGGCTGGTGTCCTTACCTGGAGTTCTATAGCCTTGGTTTTGATAAACTGCTCCGTCTCCGCCCTCCCACCATGCTTTGACAGTAGCAGCCCCGTCACTTTCGCGATCACACCTCTCTCCCTGCTAAGTCCGTCTCCGTGAAAGGCGTGGTAGGTGCAGAACGCCGTATCGAGCTGGTTAAACAGGTCTAAGCAGGACTGGGAGGGGATCGTGAGTCCGCCGGTCGCGCTGCGCAGCCGAGTCCAAAGCGTCTGAACCGGCGCGTCCTCAGATGCCATCGCCAGCACGCCGAAGCTGGGGCCGCGCTTTCTGCGATGTAGCCGGCCAGATGCGCCTACTTTCCAACTGGGGGGGCACACCATAATAGAGATCAACCTAGGGTACCCCCAAATCTAGTTTTCTCACCGGTTTTAGGCCACTTATTTTCACCCCTCGGCTTTTTCAACAAAAAAAGAAAACATTTGCAAAAAAGTGTGGTATTCCGTCTCAAAGCTGTGGGGGCACCGCCCCCACGGCCCCAGAGTTGGGGGGGGGGCAAGCTGCCCCCGCTGCCCCCCCCCCGGCTCCCGCGCCTATGCTGATTGGTCGACGGGGGAGTGACTGTACCTTCTATAGATGGCCTTGGGTGATTGAGGCCATCCAGTCTGTAGCCAGTGTCTGTCGCTAACTGGACGCACAGTCAGCAAGTGACGCCGATGATTTGTCGGGAGTCAATCGCTGAAAGTTTATCCTCTTTTTTTATCAGCTCTCAGGAGTGAGCCATGTGACCAAAACTGTGTGGCTTCAAAGTGGCCGTCAAAAAGGTCTTAGCGTTAGAAAGTTGGTAAGCAGGCTTTTCAGGATGGATTACCAGCTGTCTAAATATGAGTTTTATTTCGGGGTACATAACTCACGTTCACTTGGGCTTAAACTTAACGGAGGACGCAAAACAGTCGAAAATGTCTTAAAATGGCCAAACATGTGTTTCGTTATGCCTGAGGCTAAAAAAAAAAAACTGGAGGGCCGATGACATCAATATGGTCATCTAGACTACCTAGTCCGTGTTTGAGATAAAACACCCGTCCAAACCCCAAAATGGTCCCATATGGGCGACGGAAAAGGCCTTCGTGTCATCCCGCCTTATTCCTATGCAATAGGCCAGGGTCACGGTAATATGGGGTAATATGCGTCCAGACGCTGATCAGGTTGCGATTGATACTCCAGAAACAGTGTTGGGCATGCTGCCAAACATGCCGGTTGGCATGCCGCAGCATGTATTCATGTGTTTGCCTATGAAATGGGGAACACATTGAGGGGTCATGAACATATCAAAACGCAATGTTCTCTGTTTTACATGCAAATACAATGTGAGAACGAACTTATGGGACACCCTGTAGATCCAAATCTATAAGGGCTGAAAGGTGGTGAGAGGCTAGACCCACTGACACGCCCACTGTGCACTCTCCTCGCCTCGCCGCACTGGCTGCCACCGCGTACCGTGTCAATCTTTGGTCAGTGCTAACAGTGGCTCTCAAATTTATCCGCTCAACCGCGGCTGGAACAGGTGGCGATCTCCCCTCAGAGTCGCGATATTTTCAAGAGAGATACAGCACGCATGCGTCAAGAGCCGGCTGCAGCGACGTCACTAGGATCGGAACTGCGGCTGCGGTCGCCATCCAGTGACGTCAGGGGTTCGTGATGACGTCGTTGTCGTCGTTGGTCTCCTCATTGGTCTCGGTGGTGACGGGGCTGTTGTTGACGGACTCGGTGATCACCTGAGAGCCGTTCTCGCTCAC